ATAACAAACTTCTCTGCAAGTTCACCTAAAGCTGAGCAACCACCATGAGGAGAAAGGCCTCCTACTGAACATCTGTCCCATCCTTGATTGGAGCTCATTTATTGGCTGACTCACATATTTGCTTGGCCAGGGATCAAACATGCAAGCAAAGGCTGAACATGAAGATGAGAAACAGCATTGGATGGGCTCTCTGTGTCTTTAGTTTGACCTCCAACAGGATTTTGAAAACCCAAACGGTCTTGATTTGCAAAAGAGAACATGGGCTTGTCAACTTGGCCTTGAAACCATGCACATACGGACACCCGTACACATATACTGTGGGTGTATATGTAATGAAAGGAGTAAAATATGCTTTACTGGACTATATTATCAAACAGAGACTAAAATACCCATTCAAGGCATAGTGCCAACCACTAAAGAGATGGATTCATATACCTATTTTGAACAATACAAAACCTGGGGAAAACATTTTCTGTGGATTACAACAACCTTGGGCAAAATGGATTTCTAAGAGAATTTAATATAAAGGGCCTGATTTACTGTGATAAGGACTATAGGAAAGGAAAGATGGAAGGAAGGATGGAAGAAAGAGTTCTCTGAAGTGAGAAAGAGAAAGAAAAGGTGTGATGCACTTCACATAGAAGATCATAATGAACACTCAACTGATGGGAACAAATTGGAAATGTATGATGAGAACCTGGTGATATGAAATAATAACAGAGGAAGGAGGAAGAGAGAAGATTCAGAAAAGTAAGCAAATCAAAATAGGCTTCTTTTAAAAAAAAACTTAAGTTGGAAAGAATAAAAGAACAGAATTCAGGTATTCAAAACCATCCTTCACCCTCAGAGTATTGTGACTTTTATGTCCAGGAATTACAGGAGAAAGGAATAAAGGGCTGTAAGCAAGAGAAGAAGACAGAAAGGATGGGGCTATTTCAACCCCCATCTTGGAAATTTCAGAAGAGTGCTTGATTTCTGCTTTATCAGACTCAGGGTTCCTCTAAAAACCTCCAAGAGGAGTTGAAGGAAGCCAAACTTGCAATCTCGTACTTTTCCATTGAGAAGTTAGACCAAAAAAAAAACAAAAAAAGTCCAGGAGAGCCAGTTTGATCTACAGCAAAACGAAAACACTCACAAACACAAATGGGTAATACTTGGATTAGGAACCACCACCGCACCCCAAAATAAAGATTTTTTTTTTTAAAGTTTGAAAGCTTTTTTGTTCTCCAGAGCTCTTCCAGCAATAGCAGATGGCAAGGATGGGCTGCTCTTGGCTGATCCCCAAAACCTGATTGGTGTTTGAATGGGAGGAAACCACCAGAAAACCCAGAGCAAACTCATCCCAGAAGAATGCAGTGACAACCTGGGGTCAAGCTTGACTCCTGATGACTTCAAGGACACATCCATGTAGCTTTCTTGACAACGATATAGAAGTAGTTTGGGGATTTTTTCTTTCCACTCCAGCATGTCGATTTCCTTATGTTGCCTTGTCCACATCATCCCCAGACCTGGCCCTGCTTAGCTTTCTGAATCATAACTTAAGTGAACACTCATGGTCTTGTTTTAGAAAGGGGCTTTCTGAAAACACAAAACCAAGCTCTTATTGTGCAAAGATGATTAAAAGACAACACCTGTAACATATATTGAGTTACTGTGGGCATTTCATTTAGGGGAAGGCTATGTTTTGGGGGGGGTTATGGGTGAGTTGAATCTTCTAAACTAATAGCAAGCTAAGGCAGAGCTCCGAAATGAAGACAGTTCAAAGATAAATATTTATTCTGCGGGCAACAATATTTATTGTTGTGGAACAGATCCTGTGGAGTTTTCTATTTACATTCTTTAATCAATCCCCCAAAATTAAACCAATCTCATAACGGAAAGGGTCGGAGTATTAATCAACTCGAAATTCACTTCATGTAATTCAGTAGTTTGAAACAAGGCAAAAAATGCTGTTCATAAAACCTAAGTTACTGTGACAACTACGATTTCATGGGTCAGCAAAACTTCCTGTACTCTTACTAAGTTTACAGCTAACTTAAATTTTGACATGCACTTTGCTTCAACTATTTTTTTCCTGGCTGGTGTGGGTCTTCCGGGCTGTGTGGCCGTGTTCTGGAAG